CTCAATTTGTCTCATTAAATAATTTTCACTACTACTTGACATCTGATCTTCCCAGGTTGACCCCCTGGCATTTTTTAACATTTAGCTTCAAGCCTTTGCTTCCCATGATGGAACCATTCTTGTATTGCCTGTGGTAGCTGCATCCATATTCATTCAGGCACAGGGGCACGTCCCTCTTCACTGTGCCCCAGAGGACATGAAAAAGTGTTCGGTTCTGTTTGGTGTATATTTCTCTGGTAGTGTCACTTATAAGAAATCTGTATTTGATCCCTCAAATGACCAAGTAAGTTCCTCACATACATTATTTGGTCTTCATCAACAGTTCCTGGTTCACAGCTCTCAAGTTCTTGGAACTCCCTGAGTGCTGACAGCAGTAAAAGTGTACCTTGTTAATAAAGTTAAGTTTTTGAAAACCCCTGAGGATGGGGCTGGTTGCCAGGGAAACCAACAGGAATAGAGGATGGGGCTTGTAGTGCAGACCCTGATTTCAGAGGCAAAGACAAGACGGGGAGACTAGAAGCTGAGTCACAGGACCAATGGCCAACAATGTCATCTGTCATAAAGGCCCAAAAGAAGGGGGGTTTTGGACAGTGTCTGGGATTGGACCATGGTAGAGAATTCTGGCTACCTTGGTGGTAGGTATGGTGTGGTCAGAGACATCTGATGAGGCATAATCCCATACCTCCGAATCATGTGCCATGCTGTAAACCAATTTACCTCAATTAAAAAGCGAAGGAGGGCCCTCCCTGGTGGTGCAGCAAGCTAAAGCACACCACTGAGAAGCTAAAGCCACTTCGGCATGAGTTCAATCCCTGCCCCAGAGGTGACCCGCATGACGCAGCAGACCTCTCCTGACCAGCCCGCTGCTCTCTTCAGCAGTGTATTTTGTCTGTCTGCCTGTTCTGCTCCCCACTCTGTCTCTAGTGAATCTCTCCCTGCCCCTGAACCTCTGGCCTGTACCCCAGTTCTGTATGTATCAATAAATAATCTTTAAAGAAATAAAATAATAAAAAAAAAGGGAAGGAACTTCTGAATTTGTGAACATATAAAAGACTTGAGAAGAATAGTGTGTTCGCAGAGGACAGACAGTATCCACCTTTCCCCCTTCCTTGTCCTGTGGCTCTCTTCTACCTGACTTCCTGAGTTACAGAATAATTGGTACATAAAATGTAAGAAAATAGTAATCTAGTGAGGAAATGAGATTCCTGAGTTCTCTAGCAAAATAATTGGCCTGAAGAGGGTGCCCTGGGAATCTGTGATCTCCAGTCAACCAGTCAGAAGCACAGATAATAACCGTGCTTCTGACTGTCACCTGCAGTCTAAGCAGGAGAGGGTGGCGGGAACCTCCAATCTATAGCTGGGTGCCAGAAGCACAGCCTGATGTCTGAGTGAGACAGTCTTGGGAGACTGAGTTTCTTACTTGCGGAATAAGATGTGATCCCTGAGAACTGTCGGAACTGAGATGACTTCCTAGACCCCTTGCTGTGTCTCAGCACTGCTTGCTGCTGTGGGGAAAGCCTCTTGGCATACGTCCCTTTGGAAACTGGTCTCAAAAACCATAAATATCTTCATTTTCTTGGGTGGATTCTCTAAGACTAAATCTAAAGTAAAACTCTGGTGTTGATCTCAAGCTCACAAATGCTTCAAGTAAGAATTTTAAAAGATGGGCGCTCCCTGGTGGCGTAATGGGTTAAAGTGCAGCACTCCAAAGCTAACCATAGCCACTGCGGCATGAGTTCAATCCCCGGCCCCAGAGGTGACCCACATGGCGCAGCAGACCTCTCATGCCCCACCTGCTGATTCCCTCAGCAGTGTACCTCGTCAATCTGCCTGCTCTGCTCCCCACTCTGTCTCTGGTGAAGCCTCTCACCGCCCCGTACCACTGGCCTATATCGCACTTCTGTATGCATAAACAAATCAATCTTTAAGAAAAAAAAAAGAAAGAAAATGGCTTTCCCCCAAATGCTAAGTTGCTTTTAAAATCTCTGACTCTGTTGCAATATGCCAGTTGACTCAGAGAGCCATATTTTTTTTAAGAGATTTATTTATTTGTGCATACAGAACTGGGGTACAGGCCAGAGGCTCAGAGGTGGTGAGAGGCTTCACCAGAAACAGAGTGAAGAACACAACAGGCAGATGGACGAAGTACACTGCTGAGGGGAGCAGCAGGCGGGTCAGGAGAGGTCTGCCACGCCATGTGGATCTCCTCCGGGGTAGGCGGGAATCGAATTCATGCAGAAGTGGCTTTAGATTCTCAGTGCTGTGCTTTAACCCGCTGTGCCACCAGGGAGGAGAGCCATATTTTTTTGCCCCATGTTGTGTAAGGAAAAAACCATGTGGTCCCATCACAAAATGTTCTACACATCACAGAAATTATAGTATAGTTGGAAAATTTATAAAAGAGAATAAAAAGCATCTGCCCTATATGTCTATCATGCTGTGGGATGTAATGCAGAGTGGGCGTGGGCTAGGGAGGGCACCCACTCCCTCTTGGATACACATGCCGAGAAGAGCATCGATTCTGAGAGATCCTGGGGTGAGCAGCATGGGCGTGGCCATGTTGTATGAGTGAAATTCCTGTCCTGAATTGGTGCGATTCCCTGTCACCTACATCATGACTACAATGGAGACAGAGCAGCAAGGTGCAATGACTCAGAGTTGACTCTTTTACTATTGACCCTTCATAAGTCCTCTGAAGCTTTCTGAGTCCATTTCTCCCCTGGTAGAATGGGAGCAGGAACAGCCATTGTTGATTAAGACCTACCCCAACAGAATGAAGTCCTAATCCCAGAACCTCACAATGTCACCTTTCTTGGAAATGGGGTCAGTTATATGATGATGAAGATGAGGTCATTCTGAAGTTAGTGGGCTTACTCTAGCATGTCTGGTGTCCTTACAAGGTGAAGGGAAACAGCCAGGTGAGGACACAGACACAGGAAGGAGGCCTGTGACATGGAGGCAGAGGCTGGGGGATGCAGCTGCGAGCCTAGGAAAGAGGGACCACCACCTCCAGACACTGGTGAGCAGTGAGGAAGCCTTCTCCCCACGTCTCAGTGGAAGTATGGACCTAACCTCAATTTTGAATGGCGAGCCTGCAAAAATGCTAGACAATAAATGCCCATTCTTGAAGCCACTTTGTTACAGTAGCTTTTGGAAAACAAACGTGCAATCTATCAGGATGGGTGGTGATGGGTAGGAGGGACGGGATTGGTGGAGAGAGAGCAGCCTAGAATAAATTTGATAGACAAGAAGAAAACAAAATAGACTTAAGATACAAGTAGGGAACAAACTTCTCTTATGCAGCGACACCTCCGTTTTTCTGCTGACACTGACTTGCCTCTTCAAACTCACCTTCCACTTCTTTCCTTCCCACTCACCTAAGCTTCAGACCTCTGGCTATGGCTGGAACCTCCAACTATGTGCCCTCCCTTGGCTGCAAACTCTGCCTGGAATAGACCCAGGGCTAACCTCTGATATTCTGTCTCTCCTCAGTGAGGCTGAGCTGGCTACTCCATTTAATGCCTCAACTTGTCCTCCTGCCCCAAGAAGCTGCTCCCAACCCACCCCCTCATTCAGCTCTACTCTGTCCCCCCATATTTTTTTTGAAGATTTTATTTTTTTAATAATAGTTTATTTTTATATCATTTTGTGCCTTTTTCCATCTCAGTTGTAATCCCTGTGGGCTTCCCATCACCAGTTCACCAGTGTGCCATCACCATAGTCCAGTGCATTTCCCCCGCCCCATTTTTGATCCCATTCTCCACTCTACCCCCATAAAATGTCTATGGTATATAGTTGTTCACTATTATTCCCCCCAACCCCCAGTCCTTTATGTTCCTGCTATGAGTGAAACCAACGGTATTTTTCTTTTTCTTTCTGATTTATTTCTAAGCATGATCCCTTCCAGCTCCATCCATGTTGCTGCAAAAGGCATGAGTTCATCTTTTTTGATTGCTGAGTAATGTTCCATTGTATATATGCCCTCATATTTATTTTTATGGCTTCTAAAATCATAGTATTTGTGTACTTCTCCATTATGTGCATTACTTATTACCTATCTCCCTCCATGCTAGAACACAGACTCTATGAAGGCAGGTCTTACTTGTTTTGTACATTGATATGAACAAACCTCTGGAATAGTATCTAGTTCATAACAGGGGTTGATTTTTAAACAACTTTATATTAACCACTCTATAATTACAGAAGCTGTACATGTGTATTATAAAACATTAGACACAAACTTAAAACTTCAAATATATCCGATATATTTCCCAAATTACCATAAACCATAATGATTTTTATCTCCTTTTAGCGACTCCCTAGGGAATCCTATCTTTTGAGGAAAAGTGTCAGGAGAGGGATAACACCCAAATGCAAGGCTTGGTATGTAGATTAAATGAAATAATATATCTAAGTCCTTGATATAAGGCTTGCCATAGCAACTAATACAGGTAGTCATTTTTTTCTTCCCTTTCCTTTTGTCTATAACTTTTATCTTTTCCTTCAACTTCCAAAAATGTAGGTAGTAAAATGGTATGATGTTGTCCCTGTGGGTGGGGGTGGGGGTGCCTCACACACTTGGCACCCCAGGTGAATTCCCCAAATTCATAGTTCCAAGCTGTGTGATCCAAATGCACCACAAGATACAAGCCATTAACTATTCCACAGAATTTCATAACAACAAAATAATCAACAACAAAAAAACTGTATTTTTACATTATAGTCTCCCATTTGTAGAACAAATTTTATGAATTTTTCTGTTACAGATGAAAGAACTGGGCCTCAGAGAACTTAAGTGACTCATCCAAGCCACTCAGCTGGTAAGCAGAGAGAGCTAAGAGTTAAGTCTAGAATTAGAAGATCATTAATAAAGACTTTTTAGTTTGTCATGTAGTGAGATGCATACTACCCATTCCTAGGATCCCACTCAAAATAGTAAGATACTCCATAATTTCCCCTAGAAGCAACTTCCCTCCCCATTTTCCAAGCAAATGACTTACCTGACTTGACAGTAACCGTCTTTTGGTTATTGGGTAGTTTTCCACCAAAATTTTCTTTTTGTATTACAGGAGAAATAACCTTCAGTGAAGTGTGTCAGGAAATGGAGTTCATTGTCAAGAAAGCCTGGGCATCAATGCTTTTTTGAACTGTTGAGAAAAAATATGTATCAAGGGTTTTAGATCTTTAATCCTCTCTAGGGACAGCTTCAAAATGAATCTCTCCCATTCCTTACTTAGTAGAAGTCAGCACAAAAGTTATTTTTTGATGAGGTTTCCAGTTAGGCTTAGTAATATTAAATTTGCATTTCTTAGACTAAATTTATTTTAGGGCTGTAAAAGCATTTATTACAAATTGCTTCCACTTTTGAAGAACCTACAAGAAGGATATCCATGAATATCAAAGCACCCATCCTTATATATTCAGAATTCTCACACTTAATTCTTTTTTTTTTTGCAGTTGCATTTTTTTTTAAGATTTATTTATTTATGCATTCAGAACTGGGGTACAGGCCAGCAGTGCAGGAGTGGTGAGAGGATTCACCAGAGACAAAGTGGGGAACAGAAAAGGCAGATGACAAAATACACAGCTAAGGGGAGCAGCAGGTGAGGCAAGAGAAGTCCTCCTCGCCATGTAGGTCACCTCCCTGGCTGAGAATCGAACTTGTGCTGAAGCAGCTGCTCTAGCTTCATAGTGTTGCGCTTTAACCCACTGCACCACCAAGGAAAGCCCTTATATTTATTCTTATTTATTTACTTACACTTACATTTATTATATAGTATAGTATATAGTATATTTATAGTCGACTTATTTATATACTTATATTTATTCTTCATGGTAGTTTGCTAAACTTCAAGGAGCTAAAAGACAAAATTCAACGCAGTAGAGACGTAAAGGCAGTAACCTTTAGTTTATTTCCTTCCCTGGGAAGCAGCAAAAGCACCTTTTTACTCCAGTACCAGTCAAAGGGTTAAGGGAGCTGGTGAACTCCCTGTGGAGCGGGTAAGACAATCCATCCTGAACAAGCCAGATGGAAACCCTGACTGAAACGATGGTGGGAACTGTCCAGGAAATAACGCAGATTCAAATATGCCCTTTGCAAAGCCCAGAAAAGAAGACGGCTTTCTGGGGCCACGAAACACGAAGCAGTCACTGCAATGCCAGTGGGTCTTGAGCCCTAATGAGGAATTCACTTGTAGGATTACATTTCCAGTTCCAGCAATTTGGGACTAGCTGTGTCAGACTAACTTCCCACTGTACACAACCGGATAAAAATTATGTTTAAAACCTACTTAAAAGCAGTGGAGTGCTACCAACCTGGCCATCACATGAGAGGCCAAGATCTGAAGGAGAAGGGTAATAACATGGAGGTAAGTCATGAAATTCTTCCGCTCAGGCATCTACTGACTTATAACAGGAGCAATACAAACACCAAGCTTAGAAGCACATAAAGGAAGGGGACCTTCTGGCAGACTCAAGGCTGAGGAGATCCCAAAGAGAAGAGATGTAAAGAAGCAAGCTGGACATTATTCCTAAGTATCTGTTAATTTTTTAAAAGATGTGTTTATTTATGCACACAAGAACTGGGGTACAGGCCAGAGGTGTGGGGGCATGAGAAGTCACCAGAGAAAGAGTGGGGAGCAGAACAGGAAAATTGACTGAAGTACACTGCTGAGGGGAGCAATGAGTGGGTAAGGAGAGGTCTGCCGCACCATGTAGGTCACCTCTCTGGCTGGGGATCAAACTCATGCTGCAGTGGCTGTAGACAGCTTCACAGTGCTGAGACATAACCCCTTGTACCACCAGGGAGGCTCCAGGATTGATAAACAAGTTAACCAAAGCAGAAAGCTACTAAGATACTGTTGAGCTGAAAAGATCTTTTGGCAGTTTTATGAAGCAGGAGGAATTACAATTAGAGATCAGGATCTAACAAAAAAATGCTGTGTTGGGCTCTCCCTGGTGGTGCAACAGGTTAAAGCCCAGCACTACAAAGCTAGCCACTGCCACTTCAGCACCAGTTTGACCCCCCACCTAGGAAGTTACCCACATGGCACAGCAGACCTCTCCTGTCTCGCCCACTGCTCCCCTCAGCAGTGTACTGATCAGTCTGCTTGTTCTGCTCCCCACTCTGTACCTGGTGAAACCTTTAACCACTGCTGCACCTCTGGCCTAGATTCCATCTTTTAGAAAATGCTAAGTGTCTCATGCTTTCAGTTAGGACCTCTGAAGGGCTACATCCAAAGATCAAATTAATTCAGTCCCTCACTCAATCCCAGGGTCAAGGAGATTGACTTTTTCTAAATCATATCAAAAGCAAAAGTAAACCCCCCACAGAAAGATTCCACCATCTACAGCATCTATCATTCTTTACACATAATGTTTTACATTCAATTAACAATGACTATGCATAACAGGACACAGGTTCAAAAACAAATCCAAAGGTAAACGAGAGAGAGTTGTAGGCTATGATCTTTAAAATAATTATGATTAATATATTCAAAATTCTAAAATCTGTTAAAAAATGTAATACCCATCTCTCAGTAGTTCATAAACAGCAAAAAATATGTGTGAGGATACAAAAGATTTAAACAGCACAATTAAGAAATTTAACCTTAAGAATCTATGAAGAATACTGTACCCAACAACTATGATTACATATTCTTTTTAGGTGCACAAGAAATACTTAAAGAAATTAATAACATGTGGGTCATAGTATAAGTTTCAGAAAATGTCCACAAATAAGAGATCACAGAGTAGTTTTTAAAATTTCTTTTAAATTAATATATTCAAAGGAAAGCGGGGAAAAATAAAACACACAAGCTTGTAAGTATACAATTTAGTGTATTTTGAGAAGGGGATTCAACTCTCTAACTGCAAACAAAGTGAAATAGACTATTTCCATTCTGCCAGAAAGTTCCTTTATGTCCCTTTTTGTCAGTCCCCACATCCTAAAAATCCCCTGCCATTTCAATTATCATAGATTAGGTTTGTTAGGTTTGGAGCTTATTATAAATGGGCTCACACCATATAAACTGTTGTGTCTGGCTATATTCACTCAGCATAATGCCTCTTAGAGCCTCTATGCTGCTGAGTCCATCCATAGTTTATTCTCCTCATGCTGATCAATAATCCATTGCATGAAAATGCTACAACTTTTTAAATATACCTCTTATAGGATGGAAATTGTTTTTTTTAATAGGGTTATTAATAAAGCTGCTATAAATAGTCTTGCACATGTCTTTTTGTGGACATACATTTTCACTGCTCTAGGAGATGAACTAAGAATGGCACTGCTAAATCATAGGGTTAAAGAACACTTGACTTCATAAGAAACTGCAAAGCACTTTCCACAAAAGCTGTACTATTTCCCACTTCCATCAGTAAAACATGAAGGTCCAGTTTGCAAAGCCTCGTCAACATTTGGTGTTGGCTGATGTTAATTGGAGCAATTTCTCCATGAAGTTTTGCTTTGTATTTTCCTGATAGCTAATAATGATATCTCTTTGAGTGTCTTTTGTGCTGTACCTACTCAAGTCTTCTGCCCATTTTTAAATCGTGTTATTGATTTGTAGAAGTTCTTCATACATTCTGATACCTGGTCTCTGTCAGATACAAGTATTACATATATTTTCTTCTAGTCTGTGGTAGGACTTTCCAATTTCTAGCAACCTATTGATCAGCAAAATTTTCAAATATTGATGAAATTCAATTTATTTCTTCTTTTTCCCTTACACTAACAGTTCTGGTGTCCTTTATGAAATTTTTGCCTTCTCAAAACCTAAAAAATACCCATCTACTTTCTTTCTAAAAGTTTTACAGTGATTTATCTCAAATTAATTTTTGGCCTTGGGGTAAGATAGAGACAAGAAGTTAACTTCCCCAACTTGTTCCAGCAACATTTTTTTTAATAGGTTCCTTTCCTCATTGAATTGAGTACCTTCACTGCTTTTTCATTCTCCACACCTGGTTGCTTTTCTTTTCTTTTTTTAAGATTTATTTATTTATGCTTACAGAACTGGGGTACAGGCCAGAGGTGTGGTGGGTGAGAAGGTTCACCAGAGTGGGTAGCAGAACAGGCAGACTGATGAAGTACACTGCTGAGGGGAGAAGCGGGCAGGTTGAGAGAAGTTTGTCATGCCATGTGGGTCACCTCCCTGGCCAGGGATGGAACTCATGCTGCAGTGGCTTTGGAGAGCATCATAATGAGGTGCTTTAATCTCTTGCACCACCAGGGAGACCCCTGGTTGTTTTTCTTAAACCGTATTTCACACCTGATTTGCTGCAATAACTATTTTGTCAGCCTGCCTCTGCTGTGCCCTAAACTTCACTGCCAGTGAAATTCAAGAAATGAATATGCCAAGAAACGTATGTGCGTTATGTCATTCCTTTCTACAAAACCACAATGACTTCTCATTAGTCACAGAATCCTGTGTATAGCAATCTAGTCCTCCTTCCCCAACCTGGACCCACTTAATCTACCTGAGCTTTCTCTATTACCCTACCACTTCCCTTCACAAATTGTCTACTCTGAATATTTATTTCCGATAAATATCCTCAACTCTAAGTTCTCCTTACATTTTTTTTTTAAAGATTTATTTATTTGTGCATACAGAACTGGGGTAAAGGCCAGAGGCTCAGGGGCGGTGAGAGGCTTCACCAGAGACAGAGTGTGGAGCAGAACAGGCAGATAGATGAAGTACACTGCTGAGGGGAGCCGCGGGGGGTCAGGAGAGGTCTGCTGCACCATGTGGTCACCTCCGAGGCAGGCAGGGATCGAACTCATGCGAAATGGCTTTAGCGTCTCAGTGCTGTGCTTTAACCTGCTGTGCCTCCAGGGAGGGACTCTCCTTACTTTTAATTAGCTACATTAGAAGAACCACGGTTCTCCTAGCACCTTCCACTTAAAACTCCCTCTCCCATTGAGATTCATGATTACCATTCCCAAGAATAGGAGCACTTGCAAATGGCTACAGAGAGTCTGTAGTCTTCAGAGATAACTGGACTCTAACCAGGAACTGCCATTCCTCTCCAACCAGAAAGCGTGTGATAGGCAAGGAGTGGCAAGTCAAGAAATGAAGGGGTCTCTGTAACACTGCCATCAGTGTAACAATGTCATGCCATCATTACTGGGTGGAGGAAGGAGAGCAGT